TCGGACTTAGAGTTTCCCTTTAAGAAAAAGCTTTTGTTTTTCTATTACAAAATTTTCGACCAATTTTCGTATCGACCAATTATCGGCGATCAATTTTCGTTCGACCAATTTTCGCTCTCCCGCTTGAAAGCAGGTTCTCATTTCTGATCATCCGTTACAGGAATATAGAAAACATTGATTTTAATAGATATCTTTTTCTATCTGCAAGTCATTTTATTTTTATTTTTATATTTATTCTATTTAATCTTATGATTATTTCAGATTTCCCTTGTCGCTCCTTCATATTTGTTATGTCTATTTACTGACGCTTGAAATATGACTGACAGGTTTGTGGATCATTTTGATTTGATAAATAACCCGGTGCAATTCATATCGATTTATGGATGCAATTTCTCGAGTTCTTTTTCAACTGATCCTTTCTCTCAAGTGTAGCCTGTTTTCGTGATGTTTGCTTTCTCTCTTACTTTATATTACCTATTGCACATGGTAAGTTATAAAATGTTTCTAAGAGTGGGCGAAATCAAATAGAAATATGAAAGAAGGAAGATAAAAGTGTCAACAACAGTCACGAGTAAATTTATTAAAAAGCCAGCATGATTGCTTATATTTCTTCCACTGACAAGCTACACAGAGCTCTCGTATCGTGTTAGTCATGTAGGCAATCAAATGCACTTTCCAACATTCAATATGAATGTTGTTTCATATCATTTCAGGGTGTATGTGCGGGTGTAGCTACAAAGAATGCAAAACGAAGCAGTCACATCCACACCTTCAAGAAGTAACTTGCTCCTTTTTGTGTTGTAGTCGATATATCTTAGTGGTAGCTGTTGTGTCTTGCTGTTAATGAAACAACTATAACTCACGTATACGAAAAAGGGATCTAACTCTCTCCTCTCGTCATCTTCTTCATTGTCCCATCTCATTTGGCTCATTTTTTCATTCACACACTCATCATCATCTTCTGTATCCCCTTTTTTCGTTACATACTCATTTTAAAGATCTTTCAAAGTAAATTATGAAATGTTTGAATTTTTCAATACTCCCAGGTCGTGGACGTGCGGCGGGAAACGGCCGGAAAGCACAGGAAAACGCTGGAAAGTGGAAGCAGTATTCCAGTTGGAAGTTACCGGATTTTCTTCCTGTAGATTCCGATCAACTTCCAGATGTAAAACACAGAAAACTGACCGGAAAACACAGGAAAAAATCCGGTAANTAACTTCCAACTGGAATACTGCTTCCAGTTTCCAGCGCTTTCCCGTGCTTTCCGGCCAGATACGGTGATTTTTCCGCATCTTTCCGGCCGGTTCCTACAGTATCCGTCCTCCGGAATCATTGATATGGGCTGTATTCTTTCTAATTCAATCTACCAATTAACATAAATATTTCATCCCTACCTATATTAACTTGTCAAATTTATTACAGAAACATTATCATCAACGGTAAATGTATGTTTTAATGAATATAAGCAATCTCAAAAGGAATTTCTTGCTATAGCATCGTGACAATCGTTTTTGACTAATTTGCTTTTAGATAAAGACAGTAAAAGTTTTTACAATCTTTCAAAGTATGTCATCATTACCAGGTAAATATGACGAATTATATATCTACTTACGCATTCTTCTTATGTTTTCTACACAAGAGAATACCTCCACGTTACAGCCGACTTTACCAAGCGATGACAACATTGGAGAACCTGAGTCAAATGTACAAAATAATGCAGGTGCAGTCGATGTTGATAATATAAGTAAGTCATTAGTTTCTTCATTAGTAATATAAAGATAGTTATAACAATTTTTATTGCTTGTGGTTGATTCAGATAAAAGTATAGTGGAGTCGGGTATACTTGTTACGAGTCTCGCACCAATCGCAGAAACTGATTCAACTCCAGTATTATCACCAGCACCAGTCCAAACTTTACCAGGCGCACAGGAAAATGAAGTTGAAAGACAAAGAGTAACAACAACAGATATACAATTGAACACGGAACGACGTATGCCGGACTATGTGAGAGCTATAATTCGAGTGTTTGTGCTTTGTAGATATAAGTAAATGGAATAGTGATGAAGTGCAAGAGTGGTTTCAATCGTATCAACTTAATGAGTACGGAAATTGCTAAAACGACTGAAAATTAATGTTGTTCATAAAAACATAAATTTGTTTTAGATTATATAAGTTCTTATTTACTCCGCGTGACACTAAAGATGGTGCAGCTTTAGCAAAAATATTTGAATCAAAACTAAAAGTAAGTAAATTTCAACTTTCTCGTGGAATTCCAATGTTTATTGGTATTTTTCCAGTAACTAATGTTTTCTTTTGTATTTTTGTTATTGATGTAGAATTATGAACAGTACAGAAATGGGTACAGAAATAGATTACCATCCGGTTCAAACAATCTTGCAAAAGATTTCGATCGATTCGGGCAATTGCTTGACACATATTTTATTAATAAATACGAACATCGATTTGATGTTGCGTTCTCATTTCCAGGTATATAAAGTGTGAAACCTTTTCTTTTTCATCATTTAGCATACATCATTCAATTATGATAACAATTATCATAAAAACGTCCTTCAATACTAAATCATGTTTAATTTTGGTATCTGACTCTTTCTTCTCAAGTTATGGCCTATGCACTGAATAAAATATACTTATATATAACTAGACTGGTGTATGACAGATATATCGTTTAACAGCTAATCGACTATCAGACGACACTCGGTTTGCTGTATATGAAAGAAATACGCATTTTTGCCCTTGTGTTTGATTTTGTTTTTGAATGAAAAGTTGTAATATGTATGGTTTTCTAGGCGAAATACGTGGTAAAGTTAATGAAATAGCGCGAAAACTATGTGAAAAAATTAATAAAAAAGATGGGCGAAAACGGATCTTCTACGATGAATATCACCAAGCTGAATTAGCTCGTCCAAATCTAGATCTTTATTTGCACACAATATATCGATATCAAACAAGGTTAATCGTGGTTTTTATGTGTGCTGATTATTCACTTAAAGAATGGTGTGGTTTAGAAGCACGCGCTATACGTAGTCTAATGAAAACATATCAAAACGATCGAATTATGTTACTAACAGTCGATGGAACAACAATTGATGGTGTCCTGGATATCGATGGGTATATGGATATTTCAGGGAAAACGGAAGATGATGTTGTAGCCGCAATTTATAGCCGTTTGGAAGCTCTTGGCAATACATTACCACTGTCAAAATCATCACATACACCACCGCCGCAGCGACCACCAGGATGTATGCTATCGAAAAGTATTTTGTTTCTGAGAAATGCTTTCCATTCAATTTCACCGTGGTACATCACAGTTGCATTATTATCGTACATTTTGGGTACTTTTATTAGGCGTTAGAACGATATATATAATTTGTAAAAATAGCTGATCAAAAAGCATTTAACATTTAAGTTGACATTCTTCTAAAAAAAAGTATTTTTTTAACAAAATAAAAGGTATTTATTTAAAGTAAACCAACTTCCCAACGATTTTCATATCCTACCCGTGACCGTTTTTTATTTGGCTGCATCTAACGGTTTTTGAGATCTTTTGTGACAAGAAAAGAATAAGTAGAGTACCCTGTACATTTTCAATCAGATCCCGACAAACGTTTTTTCTTCCATCGAATACCACAGGATGCTATTTTCAAGGTTTTCACCTAAAGAAGAAAAGTGAGATTTTAGACGGTTTGAACCTAGTACGGATTTCGTATAATGTTCTAAACTCTTGGAAACACATTCGAAACAGGTAAGCGAGTATTATCTATTAGGTGATGTGTAAACCTTAGCATTTCAAATGATATGACAGACAAGGGGGAAACAGTAGACTCCAATTCCTCGGAGTCAGGTGGAGTCATCCGGAATCACATGGAGTCAGCTGGTTGCATAGAATCACATAGGACTCCAGGGAGTCATACCTAAACACGAGGAGCCACACAGAGTCTCTTGGAATCACAGTAAGTATCGCAAAATCCCTGCTGATCTCGAGAAAACCATTATAGAAATGGGAAACTGATACGTTTTTACTTTTTTCTGTCATATGTATCATTATATAAAATAGTTATTAGTCTCCTTCTTTGTCGGAAATTGTCTAAAAAAACTTTCCATAACAGAACAATATTACTCAGTACCCGGAAGCAGAATTCACAAAGCTGAACTGTTTATTCTGTAATGGGAATTCAACTTTCGGTTACTGAGTCATACTTGCAATGTTATATGCGCAGAGCGTCCAAATTCCATCCGGGGGTGTAATGCTCTCGTTCGAGTGTAACCTATACATGATATTTGGTCTTATGGTGCTATTTATTCTCATCACACCTATTGCCTTTATCTTTCTGACCTTTATATTTATCTTTATCTATCCTTCTTCTTCGTTCTCTCAAATGGTTGAGTATTTAAGTGTGTGCTTTATATGTAATCGATGCGATTTATGATTTGAAGAGTTAAATAAAGTGTAATACCATCAGCACAGGCATCTCGTCTATCAAAAATCATCACAATACTGTCAAGAGGGAAATGAGAGATTTCATCTTCTTGGAGTCAAGTTGAGTCAAGCGGAGTCAGATGGAGTCATGGAGTCTGCTGTTTTCCCCTTGTAGGACAGATCACATGATCTAATTCCAAGCAAAAATGGGTGTTGGCGTGGTTGTGTAAGAGAAGAGAAGAGAAAATCAAAATTCGCAGTCACACCCTTTTTCATTTCGCATGTTGTAGGTTTTAATTGATAGACAAATTCGTCGAATCAACGTTTTTTTAATTTTAGATAACACCAGGAGATCTGCATCTTAGAATTGTTTATCCAAATAGCCAGGAATAAAATCTCGTGACTAAAGTCAAATATCACTGGAAAAGACAATGTACAGAAGATCTAAGTTTTTGCTTTGGTTTCCCAACAATAATCAAAATTCACCATCTACTGTTCAAAAAATTCCATCTGTTGCAAATATAGTTGCTCCAACTAATTGATATCGCTGTTTGATTTGTTCATTGATCATCGGTCAGTGAAATAAATCACTAGTGTTATTATCAAGGGGGGAAAAGCGATTTATGAGTTTCATGATTTTTCTGAGTTTGGCTGATTTAAAATGAGTTTGAGAAAACCAAAAATTTGCTAAACTAACTAAAAAATATTCCAAATCATAAATTATTACTGAAAATCATTCAAAGGCACCGAAACTCACGCAAACGCATTCCAATACAGTTAATTTATATTGATTGTAAGTTGAGTTTTACTGTGATTTAAATCAGCTTTTCCCCCCTTGGTTATTATCTAAATTATTTACACTCTTATTTTAGGAATTCTTGCGATCTTAATGAAACTGTATTTTGGTAAGAATAAAGTGCCTTCTTTTACAGTGTCCCCAAATTACAGAGCGCCTTTGCTAAATTAAAAATTTCTGATTCATCTGTAGTTCCCTCAATCTTTTTATTTTCTTTTTAGTTTATCTAAATGAATTAAAACCTGTACCAAAGCTATTATTTCTATCCAATTATCAATTATATATCGATGCCACTCAACTCGATCAATATCGATTTCAAGGCATTGTAGATATTGATGCTCATGTAAGACAATTAGAACATAATCAGAAAATAAATTCTACGCCTTTGAAAAAAGTGCAGTTTCTATTCTACGTCCTTCCTTTATTCACGTGGTCATTTCCACATCGGCCCCTATTTGCAACAAAACAACAGCAACAACAGCTAATTCTCAACTTTATCAAGCATGAAGGATGGCGAATTAACGTTCGAGCAGACAAATTTCAATGTTTTTAGAGAAGCTTGGATGCTTAAAGAAAATAGTATAGCAGGTGGTTTTAGATCGAAGCGATGGATAGATGAAGTTATGATCCTGACAGTTTCTTGAAACATTTTGACGTTATCATATAGATTTCTGTTTAAGCTCACTGTTTATTTTCTTTCTCCTCTTGCATTTTATTTTATTTTGCTGTGCACATGTACTGACACAAAAATATCTATTCTTGTTGTTACTTTCTTTTTTTCTCTCTCTGTTAGTCTTTTCGATGTTCTGCGTTTCTTTTCTTCTCTCTGTTTTTCTTATTTCTGACTTTGATACTGCAAGGATCATGATGGTCATCAGGTTATTGCAAAAGAAACTTAATAAGAGAAAAAGAAAAATTAAATGTTTACATTAATCAAACTATATATACGATGGTATTAAATAGTGCTGATTTAGATATTAAAAAAAAGTTGATTATTACCAAAATGATGGAATAGAGTTTTTAAATGCACATATTCAATTCGATCCTCAACATGAATGAGCAGGATTTTTTTTATCAACCAACTAATGTAAAAATAAATTTACCTATTTGAATATAAAATTCAATTGGGACATACACACAATTTAAAGTGAGCTGTTTTTAATTATCCACTTTTTTTAGCCAGTTAAATCATAACAAGCTGATAAAAATAATACCTGCCGTTGTGAATTTGAGACAACATTTCTAATTAATGATAATGTACATACTCGTTTTAATACACCAGTTGGAAGAAAGAAACAAAGATTATTTTCTTTACCAATTGCTTTCTTTTTTTAATAAATATAAAATTAAAAATAATCTTTCTAGACAGCTGCGAACCTTCTTCTATTCTGTGTTGCATATTTTGGTATTAAATATCCATTGCATAAACTTGCCATGAATGCTATCGTTGATTTTAATTCTGTTAAATAATGAATTATTTATTTTAGTTTATCGATCTTTTTCTTTTAGATATAATAGAGAATTGGGGGTAATTAAAATGTTCTAAAATCTAAAGAAATTATTATTTTTTCAATTATGTGGTTTAATAACATATCATGAAGCATATTTACTTTTCGATGTTCATAACATAATACAGCAAACTAAGAAAAAAGTGGCTCTTATTGTTGCCCGTAAATTATCACATCAATGGTTTGGAAAGTCAGCAGTGTCATTCCATTCCTATTCTCTTTTATCTTTTATATTTAAAAAAAATCATCCATCTAGACAATGCATTGGTGGAATGATTTATGGCTTACTGAAGATAAACATATATAAAATATTTGGCTTATTTTATCTTTTCTTCTGTTCTTAGGTTTTGCACGATGAATTGAATTTCTTGCTTTTGATCGCGTGTATCCTGAGTATAATATTTCGCCAAAATTTGAATCAGATGAATTAGGAACGTGTATCGTTCCAAGTACAATTTATAGTCGTAAAATTCAATAGATTAAAAATTGTATTTCAATTGATTGTTTATCGTTCTTTTTGTGTTATATCAAAATGTTATCGGAATGATTTTGTATTGAGGCTTTATTTTTAATCAATCTCAAATGAAGTTTACAGTAAATTGAATTCTTGATGAAAGATTTCGTAGTGAATTTAATCTAACTCATTCTTAAATAACAATTACATATGTTGGGATGTGAGTGTGGGTTTTATTATTTCTCTAACACAAACCCAAACCCATCCTTTTTGCTCATCAATCTTTGTATCAATATGGCAACCTATTGATCTCAGGTACCAGTGGCCATTCTTGTTTATATCATTATTAATTTTTCAAATACAAAAAGCAATAGAATTCTAGAAGTCTTTGGATACTTATAAAAGATAATCATTATTTTGAACATTTGCTGATGAAACAGACACTAGTCAGATTTAAACACTAGAAAATAGCACGATAAAATCTAGCTCAGTATCGTTAAATGAATTAATCATCGAAAAGTCTTTGAATTAAGAATTCGATCACTTAAAAGTAACTCCATCATGGCTTATAAAGTAAGTTGTTTTGAACGGAAATACGGGCTCTAGGTGTCTGTATTGATTCGAACAATACTCATAACTATTTGACCCTACTGAATTTTCTCGGACTTCCCAATGCTAAAAGAGGCATTATAAAGTTAGCTTTTTTTTAAATGAATTAATTGTGGAATTTTTTTTACTCTATATGACGCAGTAATTTCTGTTGAAGTAGATTTAATGATGGATGAGACTAGAACGAGCAAAAACCAGCAATTTACTCTGAGCTATTTTTATGGAATTTCATACTATAAAATGATATTAATTGTACTTGTGAAAATCATACATACAGTAACTACTTCGATTAGAAAACATTGATCTAAAACCACAATTGTTTTCAATCATGGTTTCTGTTAATAATAAAATCTGATTATTATCCAGAAAGAGTCATACGCGAAACATTATTATTGCAGATAGCGAATAAAAAACAATAGAATTAATAATACTGCATGATATTATAGTTTATTTTCTCTGCCTTCTTGAAACTTATCTGCTAGTCGCATTGCTATTTCTGCTGTAATCCTGGTTGTTGTTGGTGCTGGCACATGTGTTCCGAAAGCTTGTTGTGCCTGAATTGAATGTAAATGTTCTTGATATAAATCACCAAAGATACCATAGTAAGGCTGATTCAATATTTGCAGAAGCTCTTGTGGACTTGGATAGGATATCGCATTAACACTGTTGATTCCCTTCAACTGCATAATAATACGGCAAAAATTGTCAGCTTGCTTTTTTTCTCATCAAAATTAGCTGAATTATACTCCGAATTCTGAACTAGATAGAATTTGAATTCTTTATTTAATTCAAAGTGATTATTGTAGAATTCCATACGATGTGGTGGAGAAAGTATACGTGCATTTTATATTGTATCCAAATAGCTGTACTTTGAATACTGAATATGTATTGTAATAACCCGTTCTGCATTCTTCTCTTCAGTGATTTCAGTTTGGCGTACTGGTTTCTGAGCTTTGTTTTACAGCAGCCACCACAGCATCCTTTTTTCCAACTACAGGCACAAGACGTAAATGAGTTTCTGCTTTAACGCTCTTCTTAACATCAGTCGTGTAGTAGATATGAATAACATCTTCAACTGGAATCACAAAGGGAGTTTCATCCCAAGATAAGTGCTCTTCTTGTGATGTGGCTAGAGGACCAAGCTTTCCATAAAACTTTTTCTTGTTTGAAAATTGTGTGTCTGCGTAACGAACTGCAGTTTCTTCTGATGATTGATGATAGGTATGAATTGAAAGCCTCGGATAAGTATACGTGTCAATCTTGGTTAGAACATCTAGAAGAATCGAAATGTGGCAAAACACGCTATCTCGGCTCCAATGATTTCCCTTGGGCTCTAACTCGGAGACAACCAGCAATCTTTTAACGAAATTTTGTTCATCTAGTGCACCTTTCAGTTTCTTTAAAGTGAGACTTACCTGGATAAATCAGCACATACCCATATGGTATTTCTCTTGCAGCTACGGTTTGTGTTTGCACGACATCCAATGATACATCAATAGTTTTCGTCTTACAACAGCCGCTGCCCATTTTCTTTTCTTTTCTTTCTGTTTATTAATAGGTGCAGATTGTGCTAAGAAGTACGTCCCTCGTAAAGGACTATATTAAATAGGGGTTATATGAACTGCTGGACGTCCACTTGTAAGTCATAGTGGTGATGAACATACTGCAGTGACGTAATTAAGTTTGCATCACTAATATTCATCCTAGCATATAACAACACATAATCGTCTACTGAACAATACGTAATCTTTCTGTGTATCTTTTCCCTCTAGATATCTTTTTCTTTCTCCGTATCCCTTCTCTCTCAATAACTTTTGTCTCCATGTATTTTCTTTTCTCTTCGTTCTCTTCGTTCTCTTCGTTCTCTTCTTTCTTGGTGACGCATATAAGCATGTGTTTTGTATTAGATGGGTACATTTGGATGTAGAGTATAGTTGAATAAGCATCGTGTAGTAAAGCACTAAACTGTGCCTCTCCATTTGTCATAACGATTTAGAATGAAGTAGCTCAACTAGCATCAATGCCACGTATAACGGTAGAGGTAAACTTCTTCTCTTTTTCGTTACAATAGGGCAGTTGAGTCGAGCTCAGTTTTAAACAAGTCGAATTAGAAGAAAGTTGTACTTTGTAATGCGTGCGATGGTACGTATTCGGTTGTATTGAAAGACAAAATACAGAACTCATTTTGGACAAGAAAAAACTCATCGTGTGGAATTGTTGTTATATTATACACACAGTGGCTACAATATATAGTTGATACTGATCTACACTTTGTTGTCCGTCATCCTATCAGGATATATACGCAATTCTATATATTTCGATAGTTATTTGAAGAATATTTGCGCGACTTAAATATTTTCCCGTTACAACCAGGACAACAGGAACGCCCTGTCCTGTGCACGTCTCTGGTTTGTATCCAAATAGATATAGATCGATCTGTTTTCATTTAATCATGTCCAATTGTAAAGCATTATAAACTGAGCAAGAGAGTAGTTACATGCATAAAGAGACAAACGAACGGGTGTGTTTACAGGAAAACAACGAATCAAATACAAATCTTTAGATGATGATCGTCAATATTTTCTGTTCGTGGAAACAACAAGAATAAGCACAATTAGCAACAACAATAATAACCACTATAAGGAGCAACACAATTACCACCGTAAACAGCACCATTAACAATAGGATTACCAGTACAATTACCACCAATAGGAGTAGTATTGCTAATACCACAGCAATCAATACAACGAGCATTACTAATACCATAAGGATTAGGAGTAGAACCAGTAGCACCACCGCAAGTATTAGTACAAGAAGAAAGAGCAGGACCAAAAGCAATATAAGAAGTATTACAAGTTGGCGGAACGACTAAAATGATAATTGTGAATGATTTTTTGAAATTGAGTGCATAGTTTTTATGTTATCTGCACTGCGCAGCGCGATTTACATTGAGGTTCTATTTAAAGTTGTTGCCCAAACAGATAAGACCTTTGAAAAACGCGTATAAACGCGTTAAAAGTTCGTAAAGCGACATTTTCACGGTAGAGGAACATTAATACGCCGTTCTTACGAAATTTCAATGCGTTTTCGTGCGTATTTTGGGGAACCCGTTTTTTGGGTTGAGATTTATTTCATAGTTGGACATTATTGACTGGGATTTAACCCGTATTCACGAGTTATCACATAAACGCGTTTTCCTGGGTTAAGATTTACATGGGACACTAGAAAATGTTTTTCGCCCGGTTCTTCTAAAAGTCTTAGTTTGAATTCAACTATTCTATTGTGATGTTTATACGAATGTAATACTCATCGCCGAAAATGAGCTCTTCGACGAGTGACATCGCAGAAACTTGCGTCAAAATGAACATTATCGAAAAGGAATATCGCCGAAAACCTTGATGTAATGAATACAAGGAATCTTTGTTTCAGCAATTCTTCTTTCATCACTTTTTCAATATATATATCGGGTAAAGAAAGATATTATAAGTAGCATCATTGAAATAGTGTGCTGATTTCCGTTCTCAAAGGGTATATCACTGAAAACATGGTTTGTCGGTAGCGACTTTGCCGAAGGCGACATTGCCGAAATACAGTTCGTCGAATCTCGGCGATGTGATTTTCGGCGAACAGCATGCTTGCCGTTCATTAGCGCTATTTAGACAGATTTTACGCGTATTAACCAGTTTTCATGTGAACATGCTTTTTTGACATTAGGAATAATTTCGTTTCCCAGCGTTATTCATAGTGATTATACGCGTATTAACGCGTGGGAAGCAAACTTGCGTTTCTATGTCAAAATCTATTGCATAATCTGATTATGTTTCACCTAATATTACGCATAATTATATACATGCTATGAATTCAATGCCTTTTTTTGTGGTAAACTTCATTTCATAATTTCGCAGTATTCAACGAGACTTTACGTTCATACATGCGTAGCAACTTGAAATTATTTTTCTGAGTTCAGATTTTCTTTTGAAATTCGGCGTTATTCTATAAAAGGTGGGGCGAGTCATTAAGAGGCAAAAACGGCTCCCTGTCTTAATCTGATTTTCTACTTGCAATTTTATCATTTCAGGTGTCAAAAGTCTAACATATTTTTCGCAAAATCAAACAATTTCATGCGTTTCACATTGTACGTAACTGAATTTAGTTATCCTCTGTCCTCTATATTATATATAATGATAGTATAGCACTTTTGATTACCAGAAACATATTGATCCACTCTGAATCATATACCAATCGATAGATCTCATCAAAATCTATCAAGTGATACTAAAACATCTGGAGAAAAAAGTGGGTACATGGATCTAGCGGTCAAAACAATGAGAACAATATCATGTATTTTAGGGTATATTTGTGTGTTATTAGGACATTTCATTATATGAAATATGCAGGTATATTCTGAATTGTTTACTAAGTCATAGATCGAACCAATATCTACCAAAGAATCAAATAAAATTAATATAGCTCTTGCAGTGTGGGTGCAGATGTGATTAAAAGATCGACACCCACATCCTCTACGAATGTTTATTTCTATCCAAACAATGAAATATCTCGCTATTGATAGCAAGGTGTGTAATGTCTGGTGTCACTTACATGACAAATGGATAAAAATAAAATTCTGAATTTTCTGGTATTCTGACACACTTGGAAAGTAGTATGGGTGACATCAATGATATTGATGATAATTCGGTAAATATCTTTGCGTTTGTTTGAATGTTTTAATATTTTTTTAACAAAATTGATATTTTGGATGTTCATATTCAAACTGATACTATGCCCTTTTCCCAACTAATGGAACCAGATTGAATCGTGAACAAAGAGACACTAAATGAAGTAATTAAAATGCAATTGAATGCAACTTCCTCTTCACATAAGTGAGTGAAATATCAGTTTTCATAAATAAAATAAGAATTTTAAATATTTTCATTAGAAAATGTTGTATTGGTCGTGAAGATCTTCATGTAATGCAGTGAAAATTACATCGAAAGATCGAGATTATTTATTCTTTTCGCGTAATATTTGGACTCCAGAAGGCACACGATGTTGCTCCGATCATCTAACTGGTCACCAATTATCTCAAGAAGCTATTGATGCAATTAAAATGTTTTCAATACGACATCAGCAATTAAAGTCTCCTGATGTTCAACTTCTTTTAAACAAAAGTAGCATTCATCGACATCGAAAGTTGATTCATTGGGTCCTAGACTGACAGTGCCGAGGAGAAGCAATAAATAAACCGGACAGAAAATCTGTTGTTTGTGCCAGCACCTGGCGATAATATTTTCAAATAGACCAGTGTATGGGGTGAGCTGATCTCCCTACGGAACTTTGAGCTAACCATCCCCCCCATACGTGAAATTGAAGAAGAATTAGACGAAAATTAAAGGTTTCAACTAACAGCAATGAAGGTGAAGACGAAAGACGGACAGAATGGGACTCAAAGACCCTTACGGCGGGGAAGCGGTTGAGTCATACCTAGCCACAAAAAGACATGGTTCAGAAATTTCGTGATGGTTAGCTCAAAGTTCCGTAGGGAGATCAGCTCACCCCATACACTGACCCCATCTCCTGAGTGGACTGTTTCACCACATGACCATGTCATGCATCCACCCATGATTTGTACCGTAACAATAACCTTTGTGCCAGTGTTACAGACAGACAGACATAGGTGAATTACGGTTTCCAGACCCTATCTTTTCAGTCTAAGGAACAGATAAGAAGATAATCACACATAGATGAGGAGGTAATGATGATGTCACACATAGGTAAGGACGCTATTTTGCACTCGTTTAGTGCAAAACTATTTCTTAAGGACAAAAAAGTGGCACATGCACTGCCAGTCTAGGGCCCAGTGAATCGACAATCCATGTCGATACACGTTACTTGTTAATTTAGCTATCCTATTTGCATTGATTAGTCGCTGCTAGAAAGAGATTTCTACGATTCCTTTTAATCATCTTGATTTTTCTTCTTAGTGATCATGCTAGATTTTGATTCTCCTTCGAATCATCTTCAGGTCTTCTAGTTTCGTTCGTTTCTCAGTTAGTGAATGTTGTATTTTAAGACAAGATCGAGTAAAAGCTTCGTCAAATATGAAGTTCAAAACAAACCGAATATAACAGATATGGGTTTTTCCAGCCTCTGAAAGTCTACCATTCTCTTGTTAATTATTACGAAATGCCATAGATAGCGAGCGTTAGATACATATGATTATAAAAACTACAAACTAATTCAACGTATCTCTCTCTTCGTCGACATGTGTCTATCATCAATCAAGATAATAAAAAAAACATGTATTCAACTATGCTCCGACCCCTGGAAGTAGTTCACTGTACACTTTAATGACTCTATATATTCTAATATTCTCCCTGAAAACGATACTTGAGGTCAAGAATCACATTCATAAACTTTATGATAAACCCTTGAGGCAGTTGATGAGATTAATAATCCATTTAATATACCCTATGATAAATGCTGTCCACCATTCATGCTGCCCATAAACGCTTTCCAATATCGTTTCTGAGAGGGACTAATGTGTATAGTATTTTAATCAACCCTTTTTAGACTGAATTTCGAAGGTTATATAAGAACGTTTATGTTAATTATCAACCATTTTCAGGAGTTTATGAAAGTGTAACGTGTCGAAATCCCTTTAAGGATTTATGAATCTGATCAGCCCTTCAATAAACCTTCCAGAAAGAATGCTCAACGTTTATTAACTCCGTATTAAACCCTTATTAGAGGGTTCATAACAGGGTTCATGACCGCTTGATAAACAGTTGAAAAGGGTTTGCTACACGTTGCACTTTTATAAACCCTTTTTTTCGTTTTTTATTCTACGTTTTGTTTTTACAATGTACATTTAGACCAACACACTCACCACTTCATCGTACTTACACTCCAACTTTTATGCGTATGAGCCTATACTTATATCCTGATAGGTATATCGTCGGTCCTATATCTCTATGGTTACGTGACTATCCCATAATACAGTCAGGGTATGACTATACCTATGCCCGATGTCTATAGCCGATACCTCTCCCTCTGTGGATACAGGCCCATACCTATACCCATATGGGTACATCTCCATATGTGTACCCGTATGGGTAAATGATTATCGAGAAATTCGTAGCAAGTTAGAGAAGTTAGAAGACATGTGAGTGAGTGACGCCTAAAAAACTGAGCGGCAATAAAATCAGGAAAATCGTATATGTGAGGATGTTCAAAATACGTTGAATTTCAGCTTGCTTAAATGCGTAGAAAATCTAACGAAGATAAAAATCGTAGAAATGTGTGCTTTTCCCGATTTTATTTTCGTTGAATTTTCTACGCGTATTTCACCGCTATTTTTTCTATTTTATCTGCTATGGTGGGAGATGGTGCTCATAAATTTAAACATGTGTGAAGATCAATTGTGGCTGAGGATAGGATTTCCTTGGTTTTAAGAGAGAGTCCACATGACCACCGTAGCGCCCATGGGTACAATCTTAATGCCAATTCTTCTTGTCGTCAATCATACTTTTTGCCAGTTGACGAATATTTACTAGTAATTCGACAATTGACAAAACAATAATGGAAAAATATTTTTAATTGGCGAATTTTAAAACAGAAATTTGCCAATTAGTGAAATTCCTCACGAAGTTCGCCAATGGCAAAACTACCGTTGGTCAAATTCACAATTGGCGTAATTACATAGAGCCCCATTCATGGAGCCCGACCGGAGGAAATTTTTGATTTTCGATTGATATATCTCAAATGAAACGTCTAGTCGATTCATACTCAAATCCAAAATATTAGGCCATTTGGTTCTGTCTATGCAGAGTATGAGTTGAAACACTATTTTGTGATTTATTTGTACCCTTAAAACCGGGTAGGCTGAGTATTTTGACATTACTTCATCGTTACTTCGATCGTTTGAGCTGGACCACATTTCAAAAGATAGACACCTCTCTAGCCAACAAAATCATCCTATTTTACAAATCTGAAGGTGTGGGTGTGGGTGTGGGTGGGTGTGAGTGTGGGTGGGTGTGGGTGTGGATGGGTGTACACATTGCCTTTCATTACATACGGCAACACCCACACCCACACCCACACCCTCTAGTAGTCAACACCATCTTGCGGGTATGGATGTGGCTATGAATTGATGACACGAATATCGACACCCACACCCAACCCACACGCACACGCACACCCGCACCCACACCCTGTCCACTATGGGAGGTTCTACTGTATTTAGTAAATTTGTATTGCTTTCCCTAAAACAAATGACCTTGCGCCGCTACTGGTCGTCACTAGTTCTCTTTCTATTCCTTCATTTGCTCTATCCTCCTCATTTTTTTCTTTCGCGGTTGCCATATTTCTTCCTCGTCTCTGTATTCATGACCCCGACGCCTTACATCACAGGAAAAAAAGAGAAAAAATGAAACACTTTTTCGAATGTTTGCTGTATCTCATTCGCCATCGGTGAGTGAAAAGGAATAGAATGCTCTGTGTAAGTACTGATTTTGTAAAAGAATTGATGTGATGAGAACGTCTTTTGTAAGTTTTTCTTTTGATCAAATAGAAGATTTTACAATGAAATAATACTATTTTTGTCTCTATTTCATTGATTAAAGTCATGATCGTTCTTCTTCAGGTGCTGAAGTAAGACTTGGACATATTACCTGAATAGTTGCTTGAGCATCTGCAGTGTTATCATAATTTTCCTTCGTACAGATGATCACAATAATCTTGCTGACTTTTCTCCAATTGTTGATTTCGATTGACACCTTGTGTTGCGGTTGTAAAGCTTCAATCGTATGGTCATCGGGCCCAAGCAGATTAAATAGATCCTGTGGAGCAATAAGATTGGCCTTGTGATTATATGCAGTGCTTAGTAAGATAACCTTAGAATGAATCCAATCTACATCGATTTTTAGTCGTTGAACTGATTCCTAACCTAATAACACTCGAAGCGTATATTCAAATTCATGGACTGGCACTGCTATTTGTTTTTCACAAAAATCAATTATTACAGGTCCAAAGACGGTTACCTCCGTCTTCTTTGCATCGAGTGGTGATTCAATTTCAATTGGTGAGCCTAGTGTCACTAATTTCAGTTTTTGAATGTATTCTGGTGATAATCCGAGTTCGGACGAACTTGTATCCAATTCAGCTACTGCTTCGAGACGACAGACATCAGATTCAAGCATCATTGCATTTTGAGATTTCCATAGTTGATCCGCATTGGTCAATACTATATCACAGCTAATCCAATGAGTAGCAGCAGATCCGACCTTTGACATGGGTTAACTAGAAATAGAAAATAGAAACATAGCAGTTTACATAATTATAAATAAGATACTTTTTAATTTAAGATTTTGTTCAAATCAATCCATAAGATTTCATTTAATAATTGACTATAGGAAATGCAATACATTCTGCTTAAAGGAAAACTGTCTTCGATCGTACTCAATCTCAATTGTCTTAGAAAACAAAATCTGACGAACTTCACTACCAACAGTTTTGAAAATGTTAAATTTTCAACTTTTCAATGATTTATTTTTACAAAATGTCCTTGAATATAATGATAGTTCAAAAAGATAATATATGTTACCCAATGTATATCTAAATTAAGCTGATGGGTCGAGTTGAATTCTTTTGTAGATTAAGACGTCATCAAACTACAAGAAGCGAAATATTTTCTACAAATAATCAACTCTGTAATAATGCTCTGATTTTGGTTAATGAAGCAAGAGGTCACTGTTTGCATAAGCTACGTAGTTTACATGTCGAAAACGAAAGAAGATAGAAAAATAAAATTTGTAATAAAAATTACAGTTCCTCAACATAAATCGAAGGTAATTACTTTCAAAAGATCATTCAGAGGTTAATATTTTTATTCAACGCAATTACCACCAAGGTTAAAAATCGAGTAAGAAACAGCGAAACATGTTTCAGCGGAAAATGAACGACATTCTAATTATCATAGGCTTTATATTTTCGGTAAAATTTCGAATTGGAATTTGTAATTAGTTTTCCTAAAATTTCACTATCAAAGGTTAAAAATCCCATATTGTACTCATCATTTGACAAGAATAATCGGTGTAGATGAATCTTACTATGCGCGTTTTCTAGTCTCATCAAATTTAATAGGTCAATAGCTACTTAATTCCTAATAAGATATCACATATGAACTTATATCGGCAGTATGAGATCTGAAATTACTATATATCGGCGTTAAAGTCGAAAATAGTACTATTAAACAGTTCATAAAATCATAATTTGAAAAAACAAGCTATTATGATATTATCTTTTACAGTTAGTTTTATGATAGATGCGAATCATCAATGATTGTATGTAAGCAAGAGTTAGAAGAGTCAACTAAGCTTCTTTTCAATCAAACGTACCCATGTGATTCAAACCGGAAAAAACCGGTGGTATACCGACGGTTTTTCATGAAAGTATTGCATCCTTTTGCATAGTATAGAAACGACTGAATATTTTTTGAGTCTGTTAAAACCGGCAGAATCGTGTTGAATTCGATGCACTCTGACAATGCCGATGTGCCTGAGCCGCCTGAAGTAGCCACATATCTCAAATATGTCCCATTTATGAGATAAATATTTTATTAAACATGTCGTTGTAAAAATAATAATTCGCAAAATATATTCTAAAATAGTTTATTTTCGATTAATTCGAATTCTTTTTCCGAAATAAATCGGGACTTGACAAAACACGGTTTCTGGAAGCCTTTTTAGCTGGGACCAGAGCTTATAAGCGCTACCGTCGGTACACTGCCGGTTATTATGAGTACCACGGTATACTCGCGGTAGTGGCAAAAAATATGCGACATGGGTCTATTTAAGAGAATTGCTACTAGAATTACGATGATCGGAGGAAAATAACTCGATTTCAAAGGTACAAAATCAATTATTTCAACAGCTTTAGCCAATATAAATACAAAAATACTCGTATGGCATATTTTCTCTCCATATGAAACTGATCGATCATCATCATTGGTTTATTCTTGCTAGAATGTTGAAAAAAAGCAATAGAAAATGTGTATTCATTTTAGAACAAAATTGTCTCGAATGAATGATGGGTTAAAAAGTGATTTTTAATAGAATATACAAGTCATGGTTTAAATTGTGCTTCTTTTTCTTTTTGTTGCTGTATATTTACGAAATATCAAAGACTATTCTCCTATTTAGCAAAATTTGGGTGTTTCAATGGAAGAATTTGTCAATAAATCTTTAATGGCTGTTCGAAATATTGGTGACTTTTAGTCATCGCACATAAATTCACCTGAATTGCACCGAGATTATTGAGGACATGGGTGTATTTACAAGAGAATTCCAAGCTACTTAAGATAACCGTTTCGAATGGGGCTCAATTCATTCATCTTGAGGGTATGGATGTCAAGCATACCAGATCCAAATTTCGACCTTCCTTCTACGTCCATATCAGATGGTTTTGACGAATTAGTACAGCTTCGCCGAATATTGTTTTCGCCGACTCCAACTTCGCCGGATAAATTGTTCATCGAGAAAAATCTAGTCAAATATGATCCATTCTAGGTATAGAATTTTATCCTAACTAGCTAGATTAGTAATTGATCGATTAATTAGCTCCATCTGACTTCGTAACCAAATAACCTGGTAGCCATCTGACTTGCAAACATTAGAATGCAAGTGCATTTTCTACTACTCTCACACACTCACACACCCCCACACACCCATTGTATTTAAAAACAGGTGAATTAAAACACAAAATTAGCGTTTTTTCTCTACAAGTTTGCGTTGCACCGCTGTTTCGTACAACTGTTTTTTCGTGGTTATGACAAGAGATTCTATAAATAAGGGAATTATAAGTAGTAGAAGCATGAATAAAAACTTTAAATTTGAATCTGATAAGTAATATGGCCGCTTCATAATAATCATCCGTACAATTCTGTAGTAGTCAAATTATTGCTATCACCATTGCCACCAGCAACTAAAACTTCTCCATTGGTTAGTATGGATGCTGTGTGAGAGTATCTTGCAAAACTCATGCTGCCAGTATTTGTCCAAACACCTGTTGATTGATCGTATAATTCGGCACGGCTCAAAATGCCAGTGCCAAAGCCGGAGCCACCAGTAACCAAGACTTTTCCATTAGTTAGTATGGATGCTGTGTGATAAATTCGTGCAAAACTAAAGTTACCAGTATTAGTCCAAAGTCCTGTAGATGGATCATAAAATTCTGCACTATAAAAAAAACCATTGTAATAAA